GGCATTATGTAGAATGAAAGAGGGTAAAGCAGCAGGAAGTGATGGGATCGTGACAAATGTTAAAAGCAGCGGGGATATAGTGTTCGAGTGGTTGGTATTTTTGTTTAATAAATGTATGGAAGAGGGGAAGGTACCTAGGGATTGGCAGAGAACATGTCTAGTTCCTTTATATAAATGGAAAGGGGACAAAAGAGATTGTAAACATCATAGGGCAATAAGTTTACTGAGTACACCAGGAAAAATGTATGGTAGGGTTATTATTGAAAGAATTAGAGGTAAGACAGAGTAGGATTGCGGATGAGCAAGGAGGATTTAGAGTGGGTACGGGGTGTGTAGATCAAGTGTTTACATTCAAGCATATATGTGAACAGTATTTAGATAAAGGTAGGGAAGTTTTCATTGCATTTATGGATTTAGAAAAGGCATATGACAGAGTGGATAGGGAAGCAATGTGGCAGATGTTGCAAGTATATGGAATAGGTAGTAAGTTATTAAATGCTGTAAAGAGTTTTTATGATAGTGAGGCTCAGGTTAGACTGTGTAAAAGAGTGGATAGGGAAGCAATGTGGCAGATGTTGCAAGTATATGAAATAGGTAGTAAGTTATTAAATGCTGTAAAGAGTTTTTATGAAAGTGAGGCTCAGGTAGAGTGTAAAGAGAGGGAGACTACTAGTAAAGTAGTTAGAAGTGATGTGTAAGTGTTGTTTAATATATTTATAGATGGGGTTGTAAATGCTAGGGTGTTTGGAAGAGGGGTGGGATTAATTTATGGGGAATCAAATACAAAATGGGAGTTGACACAGTTACTTTTTGCTGATGATACTGTGCTTGTACATGTATGTGTAGTGTGACCTAAGTGTAAGTAGAAGTAGCAAGACATACCTGAAATCTTGCATGTTCATGAGACAGAAAAAAGGACACCAGCAATCCTACTATCATGTAAAACAATTACAGGCTTTCATTTTACACTCACTTGGCAGGAGAGTAGTACCTCCCTGGGCAGTTGCTGTCCAGCAACCTACTACCTAGGAATATTCTATATGGAGTTTATTATATTATTTCAGGTCACTTTTTTTTATTGTATCTTTATATATGCTTCTAAACTGTTGTATCTGGGCACCTCTGCAAAAACAGAGATTATGTATGAGTGAGGTGAAAGTGTTGAGTGATGAAAGTATTTTCATTTTGGGTCACCCTGCCTAGGTGAGAGACAGCCAACTTGTTGAAATTTTTTTTTTTTATATATATACATACATTCAGGTAGTAGGTTGGTAGAGAGCAACCACCCAGGGAGGTACTACCGTCCTGCCAAGTGAGTGTAAGACGAAAGCCTGTAATTGTTTTACATGATGGTAGGATTGCTGGTGTGTCTCATAAATATGCAAGATTACAGGTACGTCTTGCTACTTCTACTTGCACTTAGGTCACACTACATGTACAAGCATATATATAAACACCCCTCTGGGTTTTCTATTTTCTTTCTAGTTCTTGTTCTTTTTTATTTCCTCATACCTCCATGGAGAAGTGGAACAGAATTCTTCCTCTGTAAGCCATGCGTGTTGTAAGAGGCGACTAAAATGCCGGGAGCAAGGGGCTAGTAACCCCATCTCCTGTACAAATTACTGAATTTAAAAACAGAAACTTTCGTTTTTATTTTTGGGCCACCCTGCCTTGGTGGGATATGGCTGGTTTGTTAAAAAAAAAAAATATCTGGGTAGTAGGTTGGTAGACAGCAACTGCCCAGGGAGGTACTACCATCCTGCCAAATGAGTGTAAAACAAAAGCCTGTAATTTCTTTGCATGATGGTAGGATTGCTGGTATCTTTTTTTCTGTCTCATAAACATGCAGGATTTCAGGTACGTCTTGTTACTTCTACATATTTACACTAATGTCACACTACACATACATGTACAAGCTTATATATACACACCCCTCTGGGTTTTCTTTTATTTTCTTACTAGTTCTTATTGATTTCCTCTTATCTCCATGGGGAAGTGGAACAGAATTCTTCCTCCGTAAGCCATGCGTGTTGTAAGAGGCTACTAAAATGCCGGAAGCAAGGCGCTAGTAACCCCTTCTCCTGTATAGATTACTAAATTTAAAGAGAGAAACTTTTGTTTTTCTTTTTGGGCCACCCTGTCTTGGTGGGATACGGCTGGTTTGTTAAAAAAAAAAAAATATAGTGTGAACAGTAATTAGGTAAGGGTAAAGAGGTTTTTGTGGCACTTATGGATTTGGAAAAGGCTGGATAGAGGGCAATGTGGCAGATGTTGCAAATGTATGGAATAGCAGGTAGGTTATTGAAAGCAGTGAAAAGTTTTTACATGGATAGTGAGGCTCAGGTTAGAGTATGTATGAGAGAGGGAGATTATTTCCCAGTAAAAATAGGCCTTGGACAAGGATGTGTTATGTCCCCATGGTTGTTCAATATATTTATAGATGGGGTTGTAAGAGAAGTGAATGCTTGGGTGCTGGAAAGTGGGAGTTGTCACAGTTGCTCTTTGCTGATGACACTGTGCTCTTGGGAGATTCTGAAGAGAAGTTGCAGAGGTTTGTGAATGAGTTTGGTAGGGTATGTAAAAGAAAGCTTAAAGTGAAAAGAGGAAAAAGTAAGGTGATGAGGATAACAAAAAAATTAGGTAATGAAAGACTGGATATCAGGTTAGAGGGAGAGAGTATGGAGGAGGTGAATGTATTCAGATATTTAGGAGTGGATGCATCAGCAGATGGGTCTATGAAAGATGAGGCAAATCATAGACTTGACAAGGGGAAAAAAGGTGAGTGGTGCACTGAGTAGTCTGTGGAGACAAAGAACTTTGTCCATGGAAGCAAAGAGGGAAATGTATGAGAGTACAGTTATACCAACACTCTTATATGGATGGTGAATGTTGCAACAAGGAGAAGGCTGGAGGCAGTGGAGATGTCGTGTCTGGGGCAATGTGTGGTGTGAATATAATGCAGAGAATTCGTAGTTTGGAAATTAGGAGAAGGTGCGGGATTACCAAAGCTATTATCCAGAGGGCTGAGAAGGGATTGTTGAGGTGGTTCAGACATGTAGAAAGGATGAAACAAACTAGAATGACTTCGAGAGTGTATAAATCTGTAGTGGAGGGAAGGCAGGGTAGAGGTCGGCCTAGGGAAGGGGTAAAGGAGGTTTTGTGTGCGAGGGGCTTAGACTTTTAGCAAGCATGTGTGAGCGTGTTAGATAGGAACAAATGGCTTTTAGCATTTGACATGCTGTTCGAGTGTGAGCAGGGTAATATTTATGAAGGTATTCAGGGAAACTGGCAGGCCAGGCTTGAGTCCTGAAGATGGGAAGTACAGTGCCCGCACTCTGAAGGAAGGGGTGTTGATATTGCAGTTATATAACTGTAGTGTAAGTACACCTCTGGCAAAACAGTGATGGAGTGAATGATGGTGATTTTTTTTTTCTCCCACCCTATCTTGGTGGGAAACGACCAATGTGTGAAAAAAAATTTATATGTATGCGCATGCAATGTTGCAAGAGTTGCAACAGGTAGAGTGAGGGGAAGTTGTCTCACATTGACCTTTTCTGCCTTAGAAAAATTTCTAAAGGAATCAGGTTTGCCTGTTAAGTACCACTGTCTTAAAATTGTATAAAAATATTGCACAAGTGACCAGCTGAAATACCAACATCATGTGTGAGAGTGAGAGAGAACAGGTAAAGGGGCCGAAAAAAAAGCTCTGAAGCCTTGGTCAACATGCTTAAAATAAAATACAGCCAATACAAATAGGCTGATACATATACAAAAACTTTAGGTACATTTTGTTCATAATAAAATTGATGCAATACATGTATCTGTATATAAAATATATAGTGTGGCATAATTACACACTACTGAAAGTTATGAAATAAGCTAAAACACTTAAAACTGAGTCCCAGTAAGATTTCTAATTTATAGTTAAGGCAGCCCAAAGATGGGTCAAAATGTACTTGATCTAGCTTTCCTAAATAAGTCATCTAAAAAAATACGTAGTATATAACAAGCTTGTCCAATTCTTGCAGAAATAAAATCACACATGATGTCTTGAGATTCGTGCCATTTAAGTAACCTAATGCTTTTTTCTCAACTTTAAAGAGAATTGGAAGAAGAAGCATTCCATATTTTATCAGTGTTCTTATAAATGGTCCAGAAAAGTTTTTCTTTTCCAAAGTCCCTAGTATCATTCACACACCCATCTTATAAAATAATTGACACACTGGACAGTCTTACTTACATAACTTCTGAAATACAATTGGTAATTTTCATCTGAAAATTAGCAGGCAGAAAGACAAAGTATGATGCTGAAAGAGCTGTGTAAAAATAAAAATATAAAACATGACTAAATGACCACTTTAAAAGCACACATCTTTATGTATAAAATAAACTTAGGAATGATTGAAGACAAGTGAGCAAAATAGGTCATGGTGAGTGAATACAAAACAATGAAAGAATAAAAGTAATGATATATGATGCTTTACAACAGCACATTTCACTGGCTGAGGATGATAATATACAGTATTGCCTTTGGCTTGAAAGAAAGTAAGCAGGGGAAGCACAGTATTACTGTTCAGTGGTAAATGGACTCCTACCACTGACAAAACCAAAGTTTCCTTTAAATGTCCTAACATCTAAAGGAACATATATTAAAGAATATGTACATTCTGGAATCATCAGTATTATAATGAACTGGGATTATGCTGCTATTTTCCTCACAGGAAAGCAGTAACAAACTGAGTTACTCTGCATTGAACAGCCATCTCAGGCAACTGATAGAATTTTAGATAGACAAGGTAATACTGGAAGTATGGGGAAGAGATCATGACAGATGTCATACTGGAGTCTGGTTACGTGGAGACATGGGAGTGTGGCGCCCTTGATAAAACTGAAGCAATCTCTCAACTGTGATGGCCACGCGCACTGTCCCCCTCTCTTCCAGAATGTCATGAGCAGTGCAGGTGTATTCCTGTGGATAATGTAATATGTCACAATCATATTTTTTTTGCAACTAGGAAAAAATAGCATAATCATGTTTGAGAATAACTGTATCAAGTAAATTATGTAATGCATCAGAAATTAAAATAAAATCAAACATATAATCTTCTCCTGAGCAAAGGAACCCTCCCACCCAACTACTGATACTATAAACAAACCTGTCAAGCTTACCCTACTGTAGGAATTAATCCTGAAAACATCCCAGCAGCCCACACCGACATTACTATCTACTTGATCAATAATTACCCAAACTTCTCCTTGACTCCTAACATATCCTCTGAAATGGCATCAAATGAATCTTCTGTGCTAGTAGCACAAGAAAGCTGAGCATGTATTGTATCTGCCTATTTCAATACTTTTAAATAATTTTAAGAGCATGTTTGATAGGAGTGAATGGAGACAAATGGTTTTTAATACTTGACATGCTGTTGGAGTGTGAGCAAAGTAACATTTATGAAGGGGTTCAGGGAAACCGGCAGGCCGGACTTGAGTCCTGGAGATGGGAAGTACAGTGCCTGCACTCTGAAGGAGGGGTGTTAATGTTGCAGTTTATAAAATTGTAGTGTAAAGCACCCTTCTGGCAAGACAGTGATGGAGTGAATGATGGTGAAAGTTTTTCTTTTTTGGGCCACCCTGCCTTGGTGGGAATCGGCCAATGTGATAATAAAAAATAAAATAACCTTTCTAAACTGTCTCAGAGCCAGAATAGCACCATACACACATTCTCTCTCTCACCACATATCATAAAAATAAAAGTGGGTTTAGGCATTTAAAGAGGATAGAGCAGATCAGTGACCAAGAGGGTGTATGAATCTTAGGTAGGTTAGGGATCATCCCAATAAGGGTTGGAAGAAGGTGGTACAGAGAAAGTTTAGACTGGAAGGGGCTTGAGCATCCAACAAGCTTGTGTGAGCATGTTAGTTTGGAGTGAATGGAGACAAGTAGTTTTTATGGACTAATGTGCTGTTGTAACGTGAGCAAGAAAGCATTTATGAGAAGCATAAGGAAAACCAGTTAGCTGGACTTCTGGAGGTGGGAAGTACGGTGCCTGCACTCTGAAGGAGGGATGGGAATGTTGTAGTTCAGAGGATTATTTGAATTGTGACATATAAATACTTCTAGAAAGACAGCTATTGAATGAATGATGGTGAATGTGTTTCCTTTGTTTGGGTGTAATGAAATATTAAAAAGACACGTTTTCATTACCCAGTTGCATCAAAAGAACTCGCCATGCCTACGAGGAACTATCAGAGTTTTCCTAGACTGCCAAAAAAGAAAAAGAAAAAAAAAAAAAGCAGCAGCTTACCTAATCACCTACTTGAAGTTGTCTCCATGGAAGTACTCTCTTTAGGAGGCTATACACTGATCTCAGAGCCTCTGCCACTTCTCAAAACATTTCCAGAACTCTTCTTTCCTAACTGCATTCAGCACAGCTTGAATTTCTTTCATGCTTAAAATGCTGCCCCTTGAGTGCCATTTTCATTTTTGGGAAGTGAAAAAAGTCACAGGGAGCTGAAGTAGGGAAGGTGTGAGAGGACCAACATGTTGTTAGTGGCCTGAAAACAATGGTCACTCTGTTCTTGAGTCAGCAAGTGGGAGACAAATTTCACAGCTATTTGCCTCACACTCAAATTTTCAGTCAAAATGCTTTAATATGACCCATAAGAAATTCCCACAATACTTGCAGTGTCCTGGATACTTTGATGATGATCTTCACAAATAACCGCCCTCACTTTTTCAGTGTTGGCATCTGTTTTTGACATTGATGGAAGACCAGTGTTCATCATCCTCAACTGATATTCATCCTGCTTTGAAGCAAGACCCATTGCTTCGTTGCTAAAATGCTTGCTGAATCATTTTGCGAGTATCACTAGCCAATGTACCCAACTTGAAACGATTTCACACACACGTGTGCTGTTCTTTCTTTTAAAGATTCCATTCTAATACACAAAAAATCCCAATAATGCACTGACAACACAACAAAAAATGCCCATCTAACCTCAATAGAGTAACCAACCATGCTACTTTACAGAGTGTACTGCACAGTGTGGTCTATGCTGCTGCCATATTTCACCCAGGAAGCATGTAAAATTTCAAGTACAACAACTTTTTGATAGCACCTTGTAATACTAAAAAAACATATAGTAAAGATAAATGTATTTGATGAAGCCAAACCAAAGAAAAAATATTAAAACAAAAATGTGGAAGACAGCATCTACTTTTTTAAGGATTTGTAAAGCCACCACAGCTATGTTACATTAAGGCATCAGCAGCTGGGCTCTCAACATGTCAATATTATAAAACAAAAGCCCTTTCCTGACCACACCCAACTCTCTCTCTACCTCACCAAAGCCACAACAATGACAGTGAGGAGAGAAGTGATGGTATAGTGAATTAGAGAATCAGCACGGAACTACAGTGCACTTGATTTGCATTCCCTGGAATGCAGGCAAGAGAATTACATGATAATATACACTTGGAAAATCCTGGAGGGATTAGTACCAAACTTGCACACGAAAATCACTCCCTATGAAAGCAAAATATTCAGGAGGAGATGCAACATTCCCCCAATGAAAAGCAGGGGCACCACGAATACACATAGACACAACACAATAAGTGTCTGGGGCCCATGGCTGTTCAACTGTCTCCCAGCATACATATGAGGGAATACCAATAGACCCCTGGCTGTCTAGAAGGCACTGGACAGGCACCTAAAGTCAGTACCTCACCAGCCAGGCTGTGATTCATACGTCACTTTACATGCGGCCAGCAGTAACAGCCTGGTTGATCAGATCCTGATCCACCATGAGGCGTGGTCTCAGACTGAGCTGTGGAGGCATTGACCCCTGAAACCCTCTCCAGGTAAACCACATTTACCTCCATGATGTTACTGTGGTTGACTACTGTCATCTCAACCTGACTAAAGACATAATAATAATGGTGGGACAGTGAACTAGAGCATGAGCACACCACCACAGTCAGCTCAATGCTCTTGGCCCAGCAAACAGATTGAGAAAATCACAACCCAGTTGATCAGGCACATAAAGGGGTCACAAAATTTGTTATAGGATTGCATGCAGTTGGTGACCTCTAATCTTATATACATCCTGCACTAAGCATATCTACCACCTTCTGTGATAAATGAGCAAACACCACAAATATATATACACACACACACAGAAGACCTTTCACAGTACAGACTCAGGGGACATAGGCTGCTGACCTCATTCAGAGAGAAGGACCTACCATGTCACCAGGGGCTCACATCAAATGAATAACCTCTGCAGTTAATGCTCCCCTGGCAAATCAGAGAATGGCCTACAGGAATCTCAACACAGTCATTCCAGGTACTCTATATAAACATATATTAGGCCCACCTTGGAGTACACAGCACCGGTACAGAACCCAAACCTAAGGAATCAGGGTAAGAAACTGGAGAAAGTGCAGAAGTACACAATGAGACTAGTTCCAGAACTAAGGGGTATGAGCCGCAAAGAAAGGCTAAAGGAATTTAATCTAACAACCCTGGAGGACAGAAGGACCAGATGAGAAATAATAACAACATACAAGATACTCAAGAGGAATTGACAGGGCAGAAATGGACAGGCTGTTTGAGAAATAGGAACTCAGGGACACAGCTGGAAGCTAAAGATGCAGATGAGTCACAGGGATGTCAGGAAGTACTTCAGTCTTAAGGTGGTCGGGAAACGGAATGACCTCAATGAAGAGATTGTGGAAGCAGATTTCATACATAATTTTAAGAATAGGTATGACACAGAAAGTGGCAAATTAAGTGGCAGGGCTAGAAGCCAAGACCACACAAATACATATAGTTGGGCACATGCATGCAATCACACACAACCATACTCTGTGTGTATTATAATTATCTGATATATGGTACAAATTAAATTATACAAAAAATACATAAAATTTTTTTATTATGTCACAAAGTCCATTATTGATTTTAAACACAGCTGGTTACAAAACTTCTTAAATCCTTTAAAAGATGCTAGTTAATTTATTTTTTTTTTTTATCTCTGCAGATCTTACAATGTTAGAAAGATACAAGTCTAACTATCAGAATATCACTGGGTTCAAGACAAAATGTAACTCTGATAATATATGGAAGTAAATCCTCCTCAAATTGCATCATAAAGAGGAAATTTGACACCACCACTTCTCTATGGAAATAATTACACAGAATAAGGTACTGCAGATATATTTTGCAGACAAACCATCTGATATACAATTAAGGCGTGTAAGATGTAGCTTTCAATTATCCTGAACCAATTAGCAACATTCTATAAGCTACATCCATGTTAGTGTATGTGTGAATTTGTCATACAAATTAAATGTTCTTCAAGAAACAACATTCAATATTATGACTTCTCCAAAATAAAATTTAAATTTTAAATTCAGAATAAGCTCTAAAACTCAAAATATTCTGAATTACTGATAATTTTGAATATTAATTTCAGGTTTTGTTAAATTCCAGCAGTTTTTCTAAATAAGAGAGAGAATGCTGCCAGAAATTTTGGATGTAAAGCAATCTCCGAAATTTAATTTTTTTCCCCCCAGGATTAAACCAAAAATTTACCAATCAAAAATTTAGATTCTGGAAAAGGAGATTTTTCTTTCAAAATAAGATATTTTTTCTAAAATTACTTAATATTTTTTTCATCTGAATAAGAGAGGCACTGAATATGATTTTTAAAATTTTGATACACCCATGCACATAATCCAAATAAAAGGAATATCATGGTGCTATATCATATAAAGACAACTTTACTGGTTAAGCCATGTGAGACTTTGTAAAATACCAATATACAAACTAATTGAGCCAATAATGACTAGTCTTTTGGGAGCCAAATTTTAATGCCATTCACTGCTCATGGTAATGTAGTTCACTGCCTTTAAATGATAAAAGCTTAACAAATTTACTTACGAAATTCTACAATGATGCAAGATAAATAAAAATTATCCTATTTTGATGATAAAATATATAAAATAATAATTTTCAGTTTCCACGGACAATGACAATGGAATCTGATTTAAGTACACTTAGATTCATAAATGATCTAGTAATATTTGAAGCTAGAACTTAAAGTATATGTGAAGTGTGCTATAAAAAGAAATACTCAAAACTAACTTGTATAGTGTGTGTGACAGACAAATCAATATTTGACTTGATTTCTAAAGCACCTTTTTGGATTTTTTTTTTTTATCTTGGGACTAGAAGTTGTCAAAACTTGACAAAAACATTCACATCTTCATGTAACTAAATTTTTTAAATATCACAGAATATATTTTATATTCTTAGCTGCATATACTAAAAGTTGAGACATTGCAGATGTATTAGGTAGTGGTTACACTCTTATAATAATACAAACATGTAAACTTCTCTCGCATACGTTATGGAAAATTTCTACCACACAGAAATTAAACATGGTGATCATACAAAGCACTGCCAAGAATAATAAGACTGACCTCAACATCTCAACTAGGGTCAAAAATATCTTAAAACAACATTTATGAATGTAAAAAATAATATTCAATATATTTTTAACAATCCTAAATAGCTTTAAGGCATTTTTACCCTAGTTAAGATACATCACTCATCCCTTACTATCAAAAATGTCTCAAGTTTCACCAATAATTACATAGAATGAATATTAATTAGCATATAGTGGTTTTCAAAGGCTTTGGTTTAAGTTAGAGTACTGAAATCATATACTGGTGCTTGATAACACTTATGACAATTACTTAAGCATACAGTTTATAGCGGCACACTTTATTACTTAAAACAGTTAAGCAATGACAAGTTCTACAATGTGAACATTGCAACAGAACTGAAGTCATAAACATATAATGCACAACATAAGCCAGCAACCAAAGCCTTTGTATTGAAATAAACTAGAACAAAGCAGCCAGTTTTTCTTAACGACCACAATGCTGCACAAGTGCCATCTTATGTGGCAATAAAAATACAGAACATAAAAATCATACACATTATATTACCCCTGCAAAATAATTTTGGATATCAATGATTAACAAATAAAAGCAAAATTATTAGTTTCATATACGGAACCAAGAGATTAAGCCAAAAATTTTAAGCTTGCCTGGAAGCAATCCTATTGTCAAAATATATACATATATATTTTTTAATAATACCAAAACAGAAATTTAAATTTTATGTCATATGTTATGTATTGTAAGATACAAACTGGAAATATAGCAAGTTGAAGCTGATAATGCATATAAAATGTATATTTTAAAATTATGCAGAATTATTGAGGAGTAAACCTTACCAAGACAAGAGTTCACTTTCCATATTAATTAATATACACAATTTTAGCCAAAAACAACTGTGAAAATATTGCAAACTTGAATAATGTAATAAAATGTAAAGGTGACAATGTGTTTAATATGTAGGTGCTCTGTACTCTCACTGGTAAACCCACAAGGTATTCTGCACTCCTAATTTTATCAACTATTTTTCTCCAGTCAACTGTAAAATCCTTGCTCACTTACCCTTCAAAGGGGTCCACAACATAAAAAAAATATATAAATCTAAATAATAAATATGAAATATAACACAATATATCTTAAAAAATTAATGGAATGCATGAAAGAAAACATTTGATTAAATAAATAGTACATATTAACCCAAGGCTGGGTGACATCCAGCCTCGATGAATAGCCCAACACATGATTGCTTGTTAACCTTGGCTACACTTCAGTTGCTGTGTATTATGCACTTACTATAACAAAAGGTAATTAAAAATTATTTCCCACTTACCTAATGTGCTGTTTTCTTACAATGAGCAATTATTTTTTTCTGTTTTCACCCTGAATGCTTTTTGAAAGTCAAAACTAAGAATATAAACAACCAAAAATTTTAAGCACTCATTTTAAATGTGCAATATTCAGAATGATATCAAAATTAAACTCATTTAATGATGGAAATCAAAGTAACTTTCAATTATATTGATGTCTGTAGCCATCATCTTCAATTATTTCCAAGAAAGTAAAAGAGTTCATATCTTGCCATTTACAGAAGAAATTTTGGGGGACATCCAGTTCCAAAATGTGAAGCAATAGAATATAAAAGAGAAACTCATACTACTATCAAAAACAATATTTTAGAGAAATCCAAAGCAGGGTGACCAAAAAATAAGGAAACTCTTTCAATGTCCCTCAATCACAATCACTGTCTTGCCAGAAACATGCTGATATCACAGTTCAGATGACTCTGAAGTGCATCATCCCCATCCCTCCTTCACAGTACAGGTACTGTACTTTCCAACTCCAGGACTCAAATCTAGCTAAATGGTTTCCCCGAATCCCTCCTCCACAAATTTTACTTTGCTCACACTCCAACAGCACAAATCATACAACCCACTTGCTCCTATCCAATGCACTCTTAAAAGCTGTTGGATATCCAAGTCCCTAGTAATCAAAACCCTCCTTTACCCTCTTCCCTTAAACCTTTCCTGGGACGACCCCTACCAATCCTTTTCTTCACCCATCATAGTCATCATATTTTGCTCCATCTACTCTCTATGTCCAAATCACCTCAAGAACCCACTTCATCCCTCTAAATAATACTTTTGGTAACCTCACCTAATCTTCAAGCTCTAAATTCTCTGCATAATATTCACACTACACACCGCCCTCAAACATGACAACTCCAATGCCTCCAGCCTCCTCCTCGCTGCAATGTTAAAAACCCATGCTTCACACCCAAATGAGTGTTGGTACCACACTATAGTCTGGGTGCATTCCATTTTTGGCCTGAATGAATAAAGTTCTGTCTCCACAGATGTCTCAATGCACCACCCACTTTTTGCCCCCCATCCTTATCAATTCTATGGTTAATTAATATCTTTCACTGACCCATTTACCAGTAAGTCTACACACAAACATCCTAACACAGTTACTTCCTTCATACTCCCTCTAAACTGATATCTAACACACAAGTCAATACATTATATGTCATACAATGTTATTAACCCCTTTACTGTCACAAGACTCAAAATGAAATGTGCTCAGTATTGGCATTTTTCAACAACAACAAAAAAAAAACTTCAGAAATGGTACAGAATCTTTTTCTGAAGGTAATGTCTCCAAAAAATACAAAATTTAGTTGAAAACTTACGAAATTATGCAGGCACAAAGTTAACAGTCTGGGTGAAATTTACACATCAGAAATTTTGCCCACTTTGAGTCCAATATTAAGCTAATTCCACTGTTCAATATGATCACAAAAGTCCAAAATAAACACTAGGCATTCCAAGCAACATTTCCTCTATTCATTAATCATGTTCTCAGGCCTCTTCTATATTACACTTGCTCTCCATTTTCAATTCGACACACAAAAAATCAATGCTTTACCCTATTTTTCAAATAATAAAATATAACCAGAAATGATTGGTCATGGGTTGAAGTGTCTCAATAATTGAATCAGTCTCAGCAAAACCCCATAAAACAGACTTGGGGGGGCGTAGGGGTTGGCCATACCTATTCTCTGAAAAGTTGTCAAAAATCAAATATTACTACTAATTTGAGCCCAATTTCAAGATATTTGTGGTCCTGAAACCAACCAAAATCATCTTTATTTCAGTAGTATATATTTCATTATATCAAATGATACCAAGAAACAGCCAATAAAACCATAAAAACCTTCCTAGAAAACACACCCAAATTCACTATTTTTTAGCCAAACACAAGGTCAGAGATTTGCTTTTCCCACCATGCACTGTATGAGGCAGAATTTTTTATACAGTGCACACTCATTGCATAGACCCATTCTCTCATATCTAGACCAAAATTTACTGGTTACAGCTTATCTGAGTGAGCTGAGCCCATGAAATAAAACTATGTGGGGGACCCTGGCCTCAATGACATAGCTCTATGTGACAGCCACTGAAAGGGTTAATGTATGTCACAATCAAGGGCATATTGCAAGATGCACAGAGGAGAGCAAGATTCCCTGGAACCAGGTGTTCACAGTTGAGGTGGGTATGCCCTATTCTCAAATGGCAGAGAATCCTCTCATAGTGATAATTTCTGAGGAAAGAGGAGCAGCACAAACCCAATTCTTCCTAAACCCTGTACAGTATGCTGCTCATTTGTAGTGCCCATCAGAAGCACCACTTTCTCATCACATAACCATATACTTGGTAGAGAAAGTCACTGAGTTAAAGCAGGTTTTATCTCAGCATCTGCCCATTTATTATCTGGGACCCTGAAGTGCCCTAAACACCAAGAGAATTAAATGTATTTGTGCCAGGAATTTACATAAACGATCACCCAATCCTAATATTTCCAGGTCATAAGATATTCCAAAGCCTACTATGTCTGAATCAGAAAAGCACTATGGGGGTCAGCAGTACATGCTGGGGTCTTTCAATTACAATGTGTTATTATCACATAAAATACGGTACCAGCATGCTACTGCTGTTGTATCTATTTCAAATAAAAAAAAAAAAAAAGGATGCTGGGATACCATTACAGGTGTAGCTGATGCCAGTAACATAACAATTCTTGAGTCCATAAATCCCCATAATTACTCAGTCTTCATGTCCAGGCTGTACTCATGCTTGCTAATGTTGCTTCTATCCAGCTCAGAAAACAAAACATCAGTCACTTCTGTTCTCTTTGAAAAAAGATCTATATTTCCCGAGACATGTGGGGCCCAACAGAAGACGAATGGTACAGGGATAATGATACTTCACTAACTGGTAACAGGGAGAGGGTGGAGCTTGGACAATGACAGTAATATATCCTTGGTGATAAAAAGTGCATTATCACCACAGAAGGCAATACATGTACAGTGGACCCCCGGTTAACGATATTTTTTCACTCCAGAAGTATGTTCAGGTGCCAGTACTGACCGAATTTGTTCCCATAAGAAATATTGTGAAGTAGATTAGTCCATTTCAGACCCCCAAACACACACGTACAAACGCACTTACATAATTGGTCGCATTTGGAGGTAATCGTTATGCGGGGGTCCACTGTACTGTCTTCTTTGGGAAACAACTGCAAGAGAACTGTCAAAGAAACTACAAGGCTTATATGCACAAAAACAGATCAAAATTTTGGAAATGAGGGGAAAAAAAGGAGTAAGGAAACTAAAGTAGAGAATATCATCAGATATACAAAAAGTTTTATGTAACATGCATCACCTATGAAAAGTGCATCGTGTTGATTATTTTCCTACTGTAAAAGAAAAATTCTATAGAGTATGATCCCATGTAAATAAATACTAATATTGTTCAGCATGTGATAGGCAGAGACTTTCCCCACATGTAAAATTGCCTCTAGTTTATCTACTCAAAATGCTTTTCATCATTGAAGACTTTTCCATATAAAGAATAAGCACAACAAACATATCTTTATAACACTAATATATCTTCTCGGAAAAATAATTATTATCATAATTATATATAGATTAGTGTTTGCGAATATATATAATATATACACACACACACACAATTATCAATTATGCCCAGCCACAAAAGCTCTATATACATATTGAGAAACAAATTATATATCACTAACAAGCCTGGCATTGCAATGCACAAAAGTTGAAACCTAAGCTAATAGTAAAGCATTATATGTACAGTAACAATGTACAGGCTTGAATGGTTGTATCTACATATCACTTAAATGATTTAATATTGCAGCACCCTAATACATGCAATATAATAGCATATTAGAAAATGCCTAAATTTTCATTCAGATAGAGGTTTACCTCGTGTACCTCCATCTATCTTTGCAGTTTGAGTTGTATATACAATGTGTTTATGTTTCTGTGCTATTGTGTAAAGGCTTAGATCTCTACTGGCTAGAAATGTAAAACTCAATATAATGTCTAACTTCAAGAACTAGCATCTCATGATTATCTGATAGATATAACTGGAAGTAAAAAATTGGACTTGAAAATGAGTGGATAGAGGACTTGCAAATGAGTGGATCGAGTTATCAGAGCTTATTTCTTGGGTAGCATTGAAAATTAGGTTGGGCAAATGTTTTGTTAGTGGGATGGATTGTAATGGACCTGCCTAGTATGGGCCAACAGGCCTGCTTCAGTGATCCTCCTTTCTTATGTTCTTATGTAATTTAGGAAGCAAAACTTCAGGATAGGTGTTGATAAGGTGGGACGGTGATGCAGCACCTTACAAACTGAAAATATTGCTACGCATGTAACATGGATCTGATTTATCACGAAAGCATGAATACAGTATATGCATATGTACATATGCACGCACGCGCGTATGCATGTAAGACAAGCCACTGGGAGGGGGATGGAAATTTTTAGCTCAAGATCTTTCACATATCTCCATGTATAATCAGGAGCTATGCAGTGTTGCAAGAGTAGCAACAGATAGACTGAGGGAAAGTTTTCTCAGAGGAAAAGTAGCATGTTGAGGCAGAACAGGCAGTGCCAACACACTACTTTTCCTCTAAGAAAACGTTTCCTCAATCTATCCACTCCTGCAACACTGTATAGCTCCTGATGACACACAGAGAAGCGAAAGATCTTGAGTTGAAGCTTTACACCCCTCCCCCCACAATCCCATGACTTGTTTTGCATTGATAGGATCACCTGTCTGAGATTGGGATTTAGGATATTTGCCGTTTCGAGGGGCATTGAAACTCCTGTATCTGCGTGCCACTGACAAGACAGAGATAGTGTGAATGAGGGTGATATGACATATATATATATATATATATGATATGATATAAGTGAGATATGACCGATGTGTTGAAAATAAATAAATATACATGTACAGTAGAGCCCTGCTTTATGGCATTTCGTTATACAGCATTCCACTAATACAGTGATTTCAAATTGTGACCAAAACTTGCTATACGGCGAGTGGTTTTTCTAATACAGCACGCCCCACCCGGTTTGTTTACATTCTCCATGAGCACATCTCTCTATTATGCATGGAAACTTTCCAAAATTTCAAGTGTTTTAAAGTTATTGCATATTTTATATGTACTCTGATAATTATACTTATGTGTACCTGTACCTAAATATGCTTACACACTGTGCTGGGATGCAGGTACACATTAAAATCACCAAGTCTCTCTACTCTTGACACCATATTAATAATACTTTATCTCTTGGGCGTATTAAATGTTGCATATTACATTAATACAGTGGAACCCTGGTTTTCACACGCTCCAGTTATAGGACAATTTGGTTTTAGAACCATTTCTTGTGTGAAATTTTGCTCTGGATATCGGATCTTGATCCGGAAATCACACGTATCAGATACGTCCACCCACTGGAATGCTGCTTCAGTCTGGCTCTGTCACTGGTTGAGTGAGTATTGTGACTGCGAAATAAGCCACCATGGGCCCAAAGAAAGTTCCTGGTGCCAGTGATAAAGGGCTGAGAGAGAGGAGAAAATGTGCCTTCTTCAGTGATTCTACAATATGTACAATACTAAAGCAGCAGGAGTCGATAAAGGCTATAGAGCCAGCCAGCGATAAAGTGTAGCAAGAAAGTTAAGCAATTAAGCGATAGAAAAATGATGACACGAAACATAACTCCTCCATTGTTGTTTGTGGTACATAGGGCCAGAGAACACCACCACCACTACTACTATAGGGTTTATGCTCTCAGTGGCCCTTATAAACCCAACACCACCACCACACCACATACGTAATGACATATTTTATTCATTCTAGAGTGAATATCAGGTTTCTATATTATTAATATTGTTTATTATGTCATATTAAATCAATTTTGATAGATAAATAAGCCACAGAGTTGATATTAGTGTCGAATTATTTAATTATTATTATAATAAAAAAGAAGCACTAAACTACAAGGGCTATGCATTCTTTAAAAAATAAATTTTTTGTGAATATTTTTGGGTGTTTGCAATGGATTATTTTTATTTACATTATTTGTTATGGAAAATATTGATTCAGTTTTGCACATTTCAGTTTTAGAATGACCTTCTGGAACGGATTAAGTTCGAAAACTGGGGTTCCACTGTATAGACATTTTCATTAATCTATCTAGGATATTTTTTTATAATTATATAGTAATAAACATGCTACATTACATATAAACATGAAAAATACATCCCACAATAGAATAAATTAACATAAATATGAAATGTGGTAGCCAGGTGACTTGTGTGTGTGTGTGTGTACTCACCTAGTTGAGGTTGCGGGGGTCGAGTCCGAGCTCCTGGCCCCGCCTCTTCACTGATCGCTACAAGGTCACTCTCCCAGAACCGTGAGCTTTATCATACCTCTGCTTAAAGCTATGGTTGGATCCTGCCTCCACTACATCGCTTCCCAAACTATTCCACTTACTGACTACTCTGTGGCTGAAGAAATACTTCCTAACATCCCTGTGATTCATCTGTGTCTTCAACTTCCAACTGTGTCCCCTTGTTACTGTGTCCAATCTCTGGAACATCCTGTCTTTGTTCACCTTGTCAATTCCTCTCAGTATTTTGTATGTCGTTATCATGTCCCCCTATCTCTCCTGTC